TTTGGCCACAAGTATCAATCTTTGAATTTAACGGGCCACATTTTGTTAGACGGCAGATACACTTTATACCCTTTCCAGCAGCCCACTCAGATGGCGTAAGATTTGAAATTCTGCCCTATCATACGTAAGTATACCCTTGTGCCTCCTTAATCAAATCCGACCCATTGAATTTGATACTTTTAGTGTATATAGTCTTGGTTGTTGACTACCGTAATCCGTCTGTAAAGGCCACGTTCAGTTTGGTGCAGCTATAACTGCTGAGTACACATATCTCTTATGCCTAATTAGGCCCGCTGTCAACGGCCTAATTAAATCCGGCAGGTAAAATCTGAAACTTGTAGTAGACTTGTGATGTAATAAGCTATCATAACGCTTTTTTCAAGTTCATCTGCCATATTTTTGGGCTAAATTACTGATTTTTTGGGTTTTCGAATCGGTACCCGAATCAGCTGCTATGTTCCATCTAGCGGCGAAACGCCGGCTGTAACGCCGGCTACGAATCGAAGGCTGAAACGCCGGCTAGCTTCACCTTGGTAAATGTTTCACCAATCTCTTAAACTATACCAGGTCCTACACTTGTACTAGTACCTACCTACCTACTAGTACCTACATGTACCTACTAAGTAGTCCCATGACCAACACTGTACACTGAATAACAAATGATTCTGCAAAAAGAATATGCTTCCTACTATGTACCTTGCATCTAATTTGCACCAGCTTGATGACGGCATCTGTCATGCAGCTGCTACATTTGCCCAGGTGCAGACTTTCCAGGTGCTGGTGGATCATCAGGTGCAGGTGTCTCCGGCCCAGCTGTCTTTTCTGCACCAAAAACTCTATCAGCTCTTGGATCAAATGGGAGGCTACGTTGGAGAAATAAAACAGAACAAGAGATCAGAGTTAGAGTTTTTGTGAACTTCTTAATTTTTCATTCATTGCAAATGTCTTTGTTTAATGGAATTTCCACTGACCACATGTCAACTGCTGTAACTGTCTGCTGGCTCTCTACCAGCTTCTTGGACCCCATTTCCTGTATCTGACCTTTTGTGGTCTGGAGTGAGGTAATACAATGTACCTCTACCTACTAAGTACAACTGTTATTCAAATACTTACTGACACAGCATGAACAAAAACACAGACACAGATATGCAGACAAACAAACCCAAAAAAGAAGTTGAGGATGGGGGCAGTTGGTGTAATTTCTGGGTTATTCAAAGTACTAGTAGCTTTAAATTTATTTTTTTGTGTGTGTACCATCAAAAATCTGTCCCTTGAAATGAAGATTATAGCACTTCAAATGGGTAAGAAGAAGAAAGAAAATTTTTCTGGGGATGCTCCTCGATCTCAAAATTTTCCCCTACAAAATTCTTACCACCCTTTGCCCTTTATACTATAGATCTACTAGTAAGTGTGTGTGCAGCAGTAATAAATCAGATGCAAATTGTGGTTTATGGTTTAAGGCTGCAGCAGTCCTGCATAGTGCTGTGTACTGGTTCACATTGCAGTCACCTGCGCCGCAGCCGACTGATGATGATGACGACTGGTTCCCTGGACACGGTTCCAGACTTGTAAAAATGTTCAGGTTCAAGTCAGGATCCAAAAATACCTAAAAGTCGAGAACCGATTCCAGACTTATTACAAGAAAAAAATCCATGTCATATACATACCCCTTTTCTTTCCAAACCACCTAAAACCATAGACTGCAAAATCTATGCTAAAAAATGACGAAAACAATTTTGCCATTGGGCATCGTCAAGTGCTGGTCTCCATGTTATGTGGCCTGTTTTGCCCATACAACATTGCAAGGTTAAGCCAACATGCAATTTTGTATATGCCAATTTGGGTTTAGGTCCGGACTTACAAGTCCAGAACTGTACCTAAACCTCTTAGGACTTGAATCTGGACCTGAACCTAAATGTGCGTTTAGGTACACAGACCACTATAGTCCTGCAAAACCTGTGATAAACCAATACTTACGAAGAGCATCAAAAGGGCCGATGATGTACATGAAGTGATACTGGTCCAGGTAGTTGTGGATGTAGTCAGCAGCCCATACAGAGTCCATGTGAGTCGCCATGCTGACTATACTCAGGTGCTTCAGTGTCTCTGGGCTGCCACGCTGAGGCATGATGCTGACATGCAATAAAACCACAACTGATGAGAATGCAGTTAAAGTATATAGCAAGCACAATTTACTACTTAAAGTATTCAAAGCCAGAAATCCAAAACTTGAACCACCGCTGCAGCTGGAAGCATTTGACTTTCGGGTATATGTAGGAGGCAACTAGATCAGCTCATACAAGTGAAGAAGACAGTAATCCTCAGTTGTATGTGGTATCAATTTAAGGTTGGTCTAGAAAACTTGTGTTTCCGGTTTCCCGACCGGTCCTTGAGACCTTATTTGTTGGATCATTTTAGCTAAAATCTAAAATAAAATTTCAAAAGAAAAGAAGAAAATCCCTAACTGTACAGACCCTATTTTTTTTCAGGCCTGAAACCGGAAACATAACACTAATTTTCCTACTAGGACCTCAAATGCCAGATCATGGCTTGATTCTAAGACGTCTGACCTCTTGTCATTTCCCCTCCCACGTGCTATCAACCTATATATACCCTGGCTGGGCAACCAGATGCACAAACCCGCAGCTAAAGTAACCCAAAAATAATACAGTTATAACCAGTACGGATGGTTCTGAATTACTGGAAGAGTTGGAAAATTTCTGGTATAATTTTCATTTTCTTGCATGTACATTTGAGAAGCTCTATCCAGACCAATTAGGCTGATCAAAGCTTCTTGTACTTACATTAACTTAACCTGCCAGTTAACTCATTCGACTTTCACTGTTTCAGAAACTTTCACTGGTTTTACGTACTCGTAACGTTACTACTAGTAAAATTTTACGTCGCAAACTTCTTTACTTACCTGTTCAAAGTTATCTCCTTGCTAGTACCAAACGACTGGAGAAGTACGCGCGCCACGTATACTACTTACTCTACCCTGTTTAAAGTCACCAGCTCTACATATACGCGTATAACACTACATGATCTTGATTCTTGCACAACTCGATGAAATACAGAAATGTGAACTTTCTCTGAACCCGGAAGTAGGAAGTAGGGCAGCACAACTGCATGACGAGGTATGGCTTGGTCTAGAATATGGTAGGACGGCCACGAAAGACGGCCACGCCGCTATTGGTCAATTCCTCAGCAAGCTCCACGCTGCTATTGGTCGGGGTATCAGCTGCTGCAGTGAGGGATAGCTAGCGGTGGGGAGGGCTGCCGGCGGCGTTTATCCACAGCTTTTAGGGGCAAAAAACGTCAACCTTTACGGCTATAATCACTCCACTTGGGTGGATAAGCCACAAACAGTCATTTGTGCGGCTCTTAGCTCTGGAAACCTTACAGGTAATGAGTGCGTGAGGGACTTGGGTCTAGATAACGTTACCAGTAAAACGCCGTACGGGAAAATTCCATGGGCCTTTCATAAATTATGTAGGGACCAGGTAAGCACCGTACAGGTGATATTTGCGTGGCCCTTTCATCTAGGGACCAGGTAAGGCACCGTACAGGTGATATTGGCGTGGCCCTTTCATCTAGGGACCAGGTTTAGGAACCATACAGGTAATATTTGCGTGGCCCTTTCATCTGGGAACCAGGTAAGGCACCGTACAGGTGATATTTGCGTGGCCCTTTCATCTGGGGAGTAGGTAAGGCACCGTACAGGTGATATTGGCGTGGCCCTTTCATCTGGGAACCAGGTAAGGCACCGTACAGGTGATATTGGCATGGCCCTTTTGTCTGGGAACCAGGTAAGGCACAGTACAGGTAATATTTGTGTGGCCCTTTTATTTGTGGACCAGGTAAGGCACCGTACAGGTGATATTGGCATGGCCCTTTCATCTGGGAATCAGGTAAGGCACCATACAGGTGATATTTGC